GTGGTAGCAACACCCCCTGTGCCGGTGATTGCTTGGAGCTTTATCAAAAGAAATCAGTCTCGCTGGCCTTTGCTCTACTAGACTGGAGCAAAGCAAGCAGCGGGACGCTGCGGCCAATACTGAGTGCGAGAGGTTCTGCCCTGTGCTTACACCACTCTGGTTGTTGTTCTCCTCGCCCTGCTTTCTTTAGTGGCCTGACATTCATGGCAACATGAATGGCTAATTTGAAGCTGCAAGTTCCCACACAATACACACGCACTCACCACCACACAGCCACACAAAAACATACACCTACAAACACACACACGCGTGTACACTGTATATCCTTGTCCCAAAACAGTTCTGTCCCCCTTGCTTTACGATGTGTTTACACTGCTTTAAATTACCTCTCTGTGTCCCTTGTTGGGCTCAATAAAATTTTAGATTCTGGATATTATTCTCTAGGTGCCCATCCTCTCGGCTTCCTGGCCCTTTGCATTTAGACGTTCAAATTTGTAAATAAATCATATGTTTTAGCGTGTGTGTGTGTGGCCACTGAACAAAAGCACTGGTCCTTGACATTTAGCACTAAAAAAGGGTTGAATATACTTTTCTATTACATAAGGCCTCCACTGCATCTGTACTTGTCTGGACTTTGCTGTCTCTTCCTACGTGCGGTGCCTGTTTGCTTCCCGAGCTGTCTGGAGCAAATTATCATATTTACAGAGAAGGCAGCCATTGTATTAGCAGTAATACCAAGTCCTCAGCTCGGCTCCAAAGAAACAATCACTGTAAATCATACTCTGTCAGCCTCTGAAATAAGTCATCGTTGTCAAGGAGACCATGAGGTGATTTTCAGGGCTAAGCTGTTTTAATTCAAAAGTGTGTAGACTCAAAAGTAAAGGAAATTGTTGCACAGTTTTGTTTTTTTGATAAAAATAAAAAGTTAAAAAACCAATGTGTTACATCGATGCATTTCATACTTCTTTAGTACTCATCTGCTAGTAGTAATGGGGCATTGCATTTCAATTATTGATTCACTTAAATATTGGGAATGGCTGCAATGCATCGTCTGGTATTCCAATTGAAAAATGCAAACAAAGGCATCAGTATTTATATTGATTATATTCAATATATTAAGTGTAGCCAGTGCGCCATTCGGTCATGAGTGTCATGCAAGACTTCTAGTTCTGTAAATCTGTGCTGCAGTTATTTTTGTGTGAAGTCAGGACCCCGGACAGATGTTCTAGAGTAAATAAACATTTGCTAACATATTGCTAGCAGATTAGCGGAACAGAATCAAAATCTTGGATAGTGTATATCTGCAAATCAAGAATGAAAGACACTGTTTATTTCATTGTGTGTGATCGCATTTGTGTTTCAGCAACTGCACGGCGTTAATTATACACACCAGGGTTCTTTGGGGAGGCAGTTTGTGGAGGATGGTATTCTTGTCAGCTACATATTAGTAGGCCGGTCTTCTTGCAAACCTTTGACTTAATTTCCATTCTATGTGAGAATGTATAGAATAAGTGCACTAGAGTCCCTCACAGTTTAGACACGCAAATAATAATGAATAATAAAACCGACTCCACAATACATTCCAAAATTTCAAATAATCTTGTATCTCAACCAGGGAAAGAGATACTGCTTGATTATATTATTGCTCTAATAATCATAAGATCAAAGCATTATCACGACGAACAGTCCTAAAAATATTTTGCCTTTGTTCTCGTTATTTGAGAATATTGTTGTCTGATGTGCGGCAAAGACCAGCACGCATGTTGATGTAGCTGCAAGCCTGAAGGGCGTTTTTCCCCCAGGCGCTACGTACCTCCCTCTTTAACAGGGACTGATTTTCAAAGACGTGCTTGATTGACAGCTACAGCAGCTCACTGACTCCTGCTGTATGTCATCCCCTGTGGACTTGACCTTCGCTCAACCCTTACATCCAGGGTCACCCTGGCTATAATGCATCCTAACCTGTTTCCGTGAACTACGATCCGTACATTGTAGCTACAGGCGTCACCACTGGGAGCTTAGTTACAGGCCGAAACAGATAGGAGCCCTCCTGGGACAGACGGGCCTGTAATTGTTCCACAGTCTGCATACTGCGGTCCCCTGCCACATGTTCTGCTACATCTATGTTAACCGTTTATGTATTGAGTTGGATGTCAGTGCTTTATGTGTGTGTGTGCCCCGGTGGTGAGAGGCAGGAAAAAAAAGTACATCGAGAGATTCAAGTGGTTTGGTGCATTTGAAAAAGATAAAACACAACCCTTTAGCCGTATGTCAATAAAACCTTTGCCAACCCCATCCCTGCAACAAGTAAGCATCTAGATCACAGACTTTTAATAGAACAAAGTGCTTCCGTGTTACATCACATTACTTAAAATGTCATCCCCACTGATTGCTTCTTCAACTCCCATTCTTCTCCTTTTTTAAATCCATTCCCTCCTTTATTCCCGGGTGAAGCTGTCGCGCCCGGGCACCTTGGGTGACACCGGCTCTATTAGTTGTTCCTAAAAGAGTTAGTAACTGGAAAGTAGATTTGTGTGGCGTAGCCACCTCAAAGAAGCTGTGGAAATGGTTCTTTGCGGGGGCAACTGACCGCCCTGAGTGAAGCTCGGAAAGTCCTCTTCTGGCTCAGCTTCTCTGCTCTTTGGCACTTCCACTAGTGCACTCCATCCAGTATGACCAAAGACATAAAACATTAATAGTAATTCAGCAAAGGTTTTGGGCATTAAATAGGGAATAATAGGTAGGTACAAGAAGGAGCAGATTAATGAGATTTCATAGATACAAATCATATAAATGCAGTAAGCTCAGACAGTGCCAAATAGCTATACAGAGAGACTGTTAAGATGTCATGTAATGTTTTACCGTCATCATTGCCTCCTGACAATATATTTGACGTTCTAACTATCTGCATAAAGAAACTGAAAGAAATAATTCTGTCAAACAGTTGTCTTTTACTCAGCTTCACTTAGGGAAATTACAGAGCATCCATGAAAATGCCTGTCTCCCCAAATGCAGCGGAAACCTTCATCAAATTAGAATTGAAGTGATTATCCGGGGCAGGGCAAAAGGACAGAATCGATAGTTCTTTGTTTGAGGCTAAAATGAAGAATAAGCATGCAGCAGGGATTTTTCTCTCGCTCCCTTCCTTTCCTCCTCTCAGAGACAGACACACACAGAGGCATCTGCACACCCACACACCCAATCTCACTCACCTCTTTGAACCGCATAATCTATTCCAACATCCTTGACCGCATCACCATTAGGCTTCCACGGCAAAGTATCAAACCTTCGTTTTTTTTTTTTTTACCTCCTCTCTTTCAAAAGAAAACCTCAAAGGAGAGACACTTCCTAAGATAATTGCAATTAGTAGTTCTGGCTGGATGTTGCCGCGTTTGGCCCTGGCCCAGCGCTGTCTGTGTGTCGGCGTGAGAGGGAGAGGGGAGTGGGCCTGTTGGGCACAACGCAGCCTTTGCAAAGCTCTTTGCTCCTTTGTCCCACATGGGCTCTGCAAAGCCTCACATTAGCTGCTGGGCCTGAGCACAGCGAGACAAAATAAACCCGTGTAGTAAAAGCAGATAGAGGGGACTTGTTTTCTATTAGTCAGGTAGTGCACTTATACTATAAACTTTTATTTATGGACGCGCAGCAAACATTCTGTGCGATTTCTTTTTCAGTCTGCAAACTTCGATTCATTTGTATTGGAAAACAAATTTGACTCCACAAAAATATTCAAAAAGAAATAGTGTATTTAGCCTAGATGTGACATGACGGGACTTTTTACTATTGTAAATTCAATGGTTGCTGTTCCGTCAGACAGAAACCAAGAGTAAACCAAAAGTATGATGCTGCTGGAGTCCATTCAAGTAAAAGTAAATAACATTTAAATCCTAATGGCTTGATTTGGCCCGCCCTTTTTTTGCTGGTAGTATTTTACAGAAACTATAAAGCATTCATTTTGAATTACAGCAAATTTGCGCAGAAATATGTCAAAGCTTAATAAAGGTTTTTGGAAATGTTTATTATTCTTTACTGTAATGTTATGCGGCATATGTTATTCAAACCTTCTGCAACCAGTCACTCTCATTCACTTGGAACACAGACTCAATTCAGACTCGCAGTTTAAACGCATACAGCTTCACATAAAGGACTACAATCCATCAATGTTCTCATTGCTGTCAGGAGAAAAGAGATAGAGCTCTAAGCAAGCGTCCTCTAACACAAATTTGATTCACCACATGTGAGAACTTGAGGTGGTAACACGGACTGACACCTATTGCCGCCAACAGGCATGTGTCTGTTTAGCTCAGTTTGGAAGCTGGGGCTCATGCTGCAATCTGATTTACTTAAGGATAGTGTTGGATATTGAGTTTTAAGTTATGGAATGAACTGGGAAATACAGTCATACTGTGTGATGCTTCACATGGGAAATACAACACACTGTGTGTGTGTGTGTGTGTGTGTGTGTGTGTGTGTGTGTGTGTGTGTGTGTGTGTGTGTGTGTGTGAGTGTGTGTGTGTGTGTGTTTCTAGCGATAAGAAATTGATAGAGACGCCGTTGTGGTTTCAAATTTGAGAAACACCGCTTGTATTTTCCACCTAAGCAGTCCCTTTTAACCAAACAGTCTAAAATGCACGGACAGACAGAAGATATCAGTGCCACTCCGCTGATGAAAAAAATGACCATTAAAAGCTTTCTTCAATGACGTCAGGTTTTTGAAACATGTTATAACATCTGGACTGACATTTTTGTCCCCATCACTTACATTAGAGTTGCATCAGGACTGTATTTCTCCAGCCAGTACGGAGAGAAGAAATAAGTTAAACAACCAAAGAGTTTCGTTGTACTAACATTTTGTTTTAGGACCCACAGAAAAAATGTGAAACCAATGCTGTTCAGTCGGGAGCCAGAGTGGGAACGAAAAAACGTGTCTGTGGTTATGACCTTCAGCTAAAAACCACTCTGTTATAAGTGTTGTGACCCTTTTTTTTGGCTTTATTCAGGTGGCCAACCTGGCTTGCTCCATCTCCAACAATGAAGAGGGTGTGAAGTTGGTTCGAATGGCTGCAACTCAAATCGACAGCCTCTGTCCTCAGGTGAGGACTACACACATTGCTACACAAGCAGTAGTAAAATATTATAAATTCTTAGATACAGGATGTAAATCAAATGCATTTAGAGGATTTCTGATCTCATCTCAAAGTTGTATCTCTAAAGAGTTTAGCTAAAATTGACAAGGAAAGAACTAATGTTTGCAGAATCGGAGGCAGAGCTATGAGTAATGCGTAGGTGGACCTTGTAGTACAGTTCCTCATGATGCAAGCAACAGGAAGGAAGGCAATATCGATCCAGTGTTTCCAAGGTTAATGCCTGGCCACGCTCACATGGGACTCAACACTGCAATCGAGAAGAGAAATGGAGAAGGCCGGCTGACTTTAAGATCGAGGACCTAATAGGCCAGCCCAACAACGCACATGTGCTGACACCCACTTACTTAGAAAACTTTGGGAGGAACTGTCTCTCCGTACCTCTTGGCAATGGTCAACGCAGATGGAGGTAAACACATAAAAGACACTGGCGTTGTGGCTTCAGAAGGAGGAACAAAGAGGAGGTGGAATAAAGAGGAATATAGAGTTGACCCCTCACTGTTATCTTTACAGAAGGGAACAGACACAAAAGCACTCACACACAGACACACACACACACTGACCATGTCCAGAACTCAGTACATGGGTTCATACATCAGATTTATGGCGAATTTAGTCTCAGCAAAATGCTGCTAATCTCAGAAAATGAAAAAGTAGGTAAAGTCCCTCTTTAATTTTATATTTTTAAAGTCTTGTGTTGATGTTTTCAGCCTTAAGCCAAAGCTTTTATCTTACGTCAAAGTCCCAGAAACCGAGATATTTTCTAAAAAAGATAACTGCTCTCACATGTTTTAATAGATCCATGGGTTTTCTGGACAACACACATTTGTGTCTGATATACTCACACACTTTCCTCTTAGAAAAATATGGCAGCTGCTTCATTAAGATAAACAAGTACAATATATTATCATAATTTATTCCAAGATTTACTCCCTGCACACTACTTTCTTTTAACGAGCCATGTATTTGCAATCTCCTTTAAATAATAAGAATGGGGTTAACCACAGACAGGCAGGATAGCCAGATACTTTATAGAGACTGATTATTGCAAAGTTACCATTGTTTTTGTTCTTTTCATGGAAACGTGTTGACAATAATCAGAACCAGATTGGAGTACACAGACTTATCAAGTATGTACATATCCATCCATCCATCCATCCATCTTCAACCGCTTATCCGGGGTCGGGTCGCGGGGGCAACAGCTCCAGCAGGGGACCCCAAACTTCCCTTTCCCGGGCCACATCTACCAGCTCTGACTGGGGGATCCCAAGGCGTTCCCAGGCCAGTGCAGAGATTTAATCTCTCCACCTAGTCCTGGGTCTTCCCCGGGGCCTCTTCCCAGCTGGCCGTGCCTGAAACACCTCCCTAGGGAGGCGCCCAGGGGGCATCCTCACCAGATGCCAAAACCACCTCAACTGGCTCCTTTCGACGCAAAGGAGCAGCGGCTCTACTCCGAGCTCCTCGCGAATGGCTGAGCTTCTCACCCTATCCCTAAGGGAGACGCCAGCCACTCTCCTGAGGAAACCCATTTCGGCCGCTTGTACCCGTGACCTAGTTCTTTCGGTCATGACCCATCCTTTATGACCATAGGTGAGGGTAGGAACGAAGATTGACCGGTAGATCGAGAGCTTTGCCTTCCGGCTCAGCTCTCTTTTCGTCACAACGGTGCGGTAAAGCGAGTGCAATACCGCCCCCGCTGCTCCGATTCTCCGGCCAAACTCACACTCCATCTTCCCCTCACTCGTGAACAAGACCCCGAGGTACTTGAACTCCTTCACTTAAGGACACATTCCCTACCTGGAGTAGACAATCCATCGGTTTCCTGCTGAGAACCATGGCCTCAGATTTAGAGGCGCTAATCCTCATCCTGACCGCTTCACACTCGACTGCGAAACGCTCCAGTGAGAGTTGGAGGTCACAGACAGAAGATGCCATCAGGACCACATCATCTGCAAAAAGCAGCGATGAGATCCGCAGCCCCCCGAACTGTAGACCCTCCTCCCCCCGACTACGCCTCGATATCCTGTCCATGAAGACCACAAACAAGATTGGTGACAAGGCGCAGCCCTGGCGAAGGCCAACCCCCACCGGCAACGCCTTCGACTTACTGCCGAGCACCCGAACACAGCTCTCGCTTTGGGCGTACAAGGATTGGATGGCCCCAAGCAAGGACCCCCTCACCCCGTACTCCCGCAGCACCTCCCACAGTATCTCTCGGGGGACCCGGTCATACGCCTTCTCCAAGTCCACAAAACACATGTAGACTGGTTGAGCATACTCCCAAGCCCCCTCTATGATCCTGGAAAGAGTGAAAAGCTGGTCCGTTGTTCCACGACCAGGACGAAAAGCGCATTGTTATGTACATATCAGTACTGATATATATGTACATATCAGTAGGTGAAATAATTTACACATGCATAAGAATTATTTTTATCCAATCATACTTAAAGTAACAACATAACAAGTCAGGCCATTTCTGTAAATTGTAAACAATAAAGAAGGAAAATATCCTTAAGTAATACAATATGTGATGTTCCTTACATTCCTTGTGTAAAAATGTTGGCCCCTCTCTCTTGGCAGGTTATCAACGCAGCTCTCACTCTGGCTGCCCGTCCCCAAAGCAAGGTTGCCCAGGACAACATGGACGTTTTCAAGGATCAGTGGGAGAAGCAGGTGCGCATCCTGACCGAGGCTGTGGATGACATCACCTCTGTGGACGATTTCCTTTCTGTGTCAGGTATGAGGCAACGCAGCGCACATTCTTATATGATTGGCTGGTTGAGGAAGCTTCCTAATTGCCATTCATTTTACACAAATGTTTGGGGTTAATGGTAGGCACAAGTTGGAGTATGGTATTTATAGAGTTGTATTTTAGCACCTTGGTGGGAAAAACCATCACAATTTGGATTGTAAGGAATAACACAAAATTATAAAATAAATAATAAATCACAGAAAACTCAGAAAGAAACCTGACAAAAAGGATAAGGTTGTTTTGTTTTTGTTGTTTTGTCATTTTGTCTTTCCTTTACTTTTTAGCCGGACGTCTTCCATTTTTTTGGAAGACATTTTTCGCCTTGACATGTAGACCAACATATGACATTGTAGAATTCTGAATTGTCTTTATATTCATTAAATTCCTGAGGGAACACTTTTAGTTGTTGAATTGGCCAGAGGATTTTAAAAAGAAGGTTACTTCACATTTATTCGATCCAATTTGTATTTAATTTTTTAATGGTTTTGAATCATATATATATATACCTCTGTTTCAATTATGTACAATATTAATCATCTGCACTCATTAGTGGGAAATTATGGCGAGGTTGCAATTATCAAGCAGCTCCCCTTCCAAGTGTTTCAAAGAACTATTGTGGCTTTTCTTAAGGATAATATTATATAGGGAGCTAATTTGATCGATGCTCCTCTCTTTCTTAATTCCTCAGTGAAGTTTATGATCGCTAATAATCAATAATGAAGAGCACCGACATCATCAGTCAGCCCATCTGTTTGTTCTCTACTCATGGTTGTTTTTTTTTGCTAGCAAAGTTAACAAGAACTGATTAACTATGAGGACAGACAGCTTATGTTTTAAATTGTTTATGAAGAAAATACTTTGGTTAAATGTAGATACAGGATTTATTGATAACGTATTGGCTATTACTTTATTTATTATTTATCAAGTCGAGAAATCTTTACTTCACCTGGTTACTAAACCATTTGCTGGTCGCTGACCCGTTGTGTGTATGCGTGTATGTGTGTGTGTGTGTGTGTGTGTGTGTGTGTGTGTGTGTGTGCGCGTGCATGCATGCATGTCACTGTTCTTGTAGTAAAAGGAGCTGAGTGAGAGTATGGTTGTTTCTCTCTGTGTCAGCTATGCGATTGAGTGGCGGCCCGTCCAGTGTGTAACCCGTCCCACGCCTGTTTGTTAGCGGGGATTGACTCCAGCCCCCCCGCCCCCTCTAAGGATAAGCAGTATAGAAGATAGCTGACTGATAGTCACACGTATTCTATTCCATTTTTACCAATTAATCCTCCTACATGTTAAACACTGGGCTTTTAAAACATGAAGGACTGTTCACAAAGAAAAAAATGAGGAATCTAAATATGATTTCTGCAAAAAAAAAAAAAAGAAATCCTTTGGTTTCCGCCGTTCCACTCACTGTCGTTCTTGTTTGCCTTTTTCCAAGAGAACCACATCCTTGAGGACGTCAACAAATGCGTAATTGCTCTGCAAGAGGGAGACGTGGACACTCTCGACCGAACTGCCGGGGCCATCCGCGGCCGAGCTGCTCGCGTGGTCCACATCATTAACGCTGAGATGGAAAACTACGAACCTGGGGTCTACACTGAGCGCGTGCTGGAGTCCATCAAGCTCCTGTCTGAGACTGGTTAGTGTGCCTTACACCAGGCCGGGGGGGGGCACAACAAGTCACAGTGTAATGTAACACCGTGTATTGTGAAGATGAATTAAGTATCCTTCACCTTTGTCCTGTGCCTGCATCAAACATTCTGCTACAACCCTTTTGGCAAGTTAAGCTACTTTCACAGACACACACAAACACACGCTAGCCCTTATGTAGCCTCCCACTCTGTTCAGTGACTTGCAAACACACTGTAATTGCCTGGATGCCGGGTGTCCCACAGTTTAGATCGGTGTCTTGGCTCTAACACCAGCCTCGGTCACCACCTGTTCAATCCTCAGCCTATAATATTTTTGTATGAGTTATTTTTTGAGGGGTGTCTGCATCACGGCACATTCCAGGAGACCTGGATTCGTCCGCTTGGCAGGTCACACTCAACAACAACAGCTGTATTGGAATGGATTCTAAATACTAAATAACTTGTGTATAATAATATACAGCGACAGTACACTTTCATAGTGCAGTAAAATCTACTTAGTAGAAGTATCTAGATTGGGCATTTGAATGTATATGATTTTTAGTATAGTTAGTATACGGTATTGAGTGCAGGGCCGAAGAAAAATATGGGAGGTTATTGACTGGAAGAGAAGTAATAAATAAATTATTGTCCTTTCAGCATATTGAGTTGTAGGCCACATTAAAGGTTCCATGAAGAGTTTTTGACCTCAGAGACCCCTATGCATGCGTTTGGACCATAAGTGGATCTCCATTTTTATTATATCTTTAAATATACGCCTGTAGGTGACACAATAAACATTTATTCCAATGTCACACTATTCAACTGATTTATTACCGACAATAACATGAAAAGGTAGGGACGCAAACGTGGAAGCTAGTAAACATAGAACTGAACAATGTAAGATCTAAAGTATAAACCCAACACATTTTTTAAATATCAAATATACACACAAAGCATTTTAGGGAGTAAAATGTAATGTAAACATGATCATTTTTTGTTCATATTGATAAAATCAAGGGGCATAATGCCTATTAAATATGGAAACATTAGATGAAGTTATTATCTGTAGTGTTTCGTTGTTAAACAAAGCTTTGTCACACACAGAGAGACTGAGTTTGGGCAGCATTTACTACATGGGAGAAGGGGAGAGCATTTATCACTGTTGGAGTGGAACACTGTTGCTATTTCCTGTAGGAAACACACGCCGGTGCGGACCGGATACACATCAGTAGAAAAGATTAATGCCAATTATGTTGCTCACTTTTTGCGAAACAAAAGCAGTTCACAGATTGAGAAGTCAGTGTTTCTTGTCATGAATGCATTTTCCTTGAGGCATTATATTAGAAAAGAAGAAAGGTCAGGTGTCATTTCAGTAACATTTTTGCGCCATGAAATGGCTCCTCAAATCTCTCGAAACCAGGTGCTTACAGGCCTTTAAACAAGTACACCATTGAAAAATGTGGACGAAAAGAAAACAGGATGAAAGGAAAGTAGTTACTTAAAAACTACCTGTCCACAAGAATGGAACCACAATCCCTCTTTTACAAAAGCCCCCCCCTCTACATACTCACCCATCCATCCAGCCCACGGTTCCAACCTTTCAAACCATTAGAGACAATTTAGCCAGGTGCTATATCTATTATTTGCTCTTTACTTTCATCTGCCAGAATAATTGAGGGACACAACACCCCCCCCCCCCCCCCGCCTCCTTTCACAAGATGATAAAGTGGCAACAGCATCCAGGGGATCTGGTGAGTCACGTGTCAACCAGTGTCAGTCTACTGGCGCTGGACTCCCACATAATGGACTGCACACAGGGGAAGTTATTCTTTAATCCTCATGTGGATCCCCCATGCTGGGCTGGTGACATGGCGGTCTGCCGCACATTCTGGTATATATTGTATAATTTAGGGTAAATGATTGGGAGTAATTAATTGATGAGGTAGTATCTCCTTGGACCACTTAAAGGTAGATTTTATATGACTATAACCCGGTCCCGCGCCAAGACTTTGTAATTGTGCTGCTGTTCTATTAAACATCCGTGGAGAATGCAGCTTGTGTCTAGTCAGCAGGACCCCAGAAGCATTATTTCAGTTTTACTGAGGACAACCAATAAAATGTAGATTTTCCCACTTGTTTGTTTTCATCATAATGGAAATCTAATGGAGAAAATGAAAGGCGTACTATATCTATGCTTTATACAAAAGAGAGAAAATTCATTATGCCCTGGAAAAGGCAACCATACAGTTAGACAGACGCCAGTTTTAGAGAATTGTTTTACGGAAGCATTTCTCTTTAATAGAACTATGTTTTTTTAATTCTCTACATTTCAGAAATTCTAAACTTTTTCCTTAAAGTTTTATATAAAAAAGAATCCCACTAAAATACAATTTATTATTGATCTGTCAGTATGGATTACTTCAGCCACCTACACACGATCACGTTCTGTACTTTGGACAGAAAACTTTGAGAACCACACGGATGGCTATAAATACACTGTTGCTACAAAAAATAAATATTGTTATTATTCATAGTTGAAGACGGTATTACAGTATTTAAACAGAGATAATAATGGTAATGCACTGTGCTCAAAAACAACAACAAGGAACAACAACAATAGACAATGTTCAGTGAAATTTAACTGCTTTTTCAACTGACCCTTAAGGCAAGGGCTGGGATGATACAGTCCATAACGATGCATTACATAGTCAAGTCTGAATGGCCTCGGGGAAGTATTCTGTTTTACGTCAACTTTAACGAGGCCTTGTGTGCTTTCAATTGTGCGTGCTAATTGAGATGTTAAGGCAGGTAACCGGCAACTGTGTGAGTTTCATTGGCTCCATATTTCTCTTGAATGAAGGGTTGTTGTGTTATCCCTTCCCATTCCCCTCTTATTGCTGGTAGTTTGGGGGTTTTAGGGGCTACCATGCACATCTGATCTGGACCATAAAGCGTTTATTGATCCTTGTGAACTTATGCCCCCCTTAGTCTTCACAGACCAGATGTAGGAATCTATAGCTGGGGGAAAGATGATTAAGTGTTGCTGAAACAAAGAAAAAGGATATAGGGCGGCACACCTTTCAGAGGGTGCCAAGTCCAATTAACTAGACTCTACCAAACAAAAAAAATCAATAGCTGCCAACAAGGATTTCACTAAGCGTTCTGAGCAGGAATCTTAGTGGAATTCATTGATGTGGTTCCCTTTTTCCCTTTTCTCAGTGTTGTCTATGTGCGAAACATTTACACTGTGCTCGAGTGTGTTTGTGTGTGTGCGTTTGTATTAGTGTATTTGATTGCCCCAGTGTTTGTGCCCACAGACACTTGGCCAATCGCATCCTTGTCTTTCTGACAGCTGCGACGGGACGCTTATCACAACCGCCTGCCATTCGACCTTGTCTCCGTTTGCCCATGTCTCGTTCACATATTGAGCGTGGTCAAATTTATGACCGGGCCAAAAACAGCCAGCCAAGGCACACGACTCTTGGGTGTAAAGCGGGGCCATAGATTCCTGACGGACAGTCCGCACAAAAGGCCCCGGATTGAAGCGTGTCCTTGAGAGGGAGAAAAATCAATAGCCTAATGGGAAAGTGGTTATGGCTTTTCTCTCTTTTCCCCCTCTCCCTCCTTCTTCCCAGAGACACTTTTCTGCCCACTAACTCCCTGTGTTTAAACTAATCTTCTCCTCAAAAAAAAAAGGACACATTTTCAAGTCGATCCTTAATGTGGCGCCTGGAGAGGGTAGATTAAAAAACTGATGTATGGCCGTAGTCAGTGTGCCATTTAGAGAAGCAGGGTGGCATTGCTTCTTGCTATTACATCGGGGGACGCAAATGGGATTTAGCGAAGGGTTTTGCAGCGAGTGATAACACACACATGCACACACTGCCGCCCGCATGTCACAGCTGTAAATCAGTGGATCAAGTGCTAAAAAGAAGTGCAGCAGAGTCTGAGGGGAGAGGAGTGAAGACACTTCACACTGTCCACTTTGAAAAATAATACTTCTGAGAACCAGACGGTGTGTCTGGCCCGAGTAAAAGTAACTCCCCATTTATGTTAAAATCTTTAATCAGGACAGCAATGACTTCATTGTACTGGATTGACTTGGCGAGACACCATATAAATGGTTATCCATTGATACAGGTGATTGGAAAATATGAAACAGATGGCAAACGTCCCAGTGGAGGAGGTGAGGCTTAATCTGTGTGGAAATAGAAGCGGCAGTTACAGTGGAAGAGGGTGCGGATGGGAAAATTCCTATGAGAAGAGCAGCGCAAGAGCTACAATGCATTTTAGTCTCGTACCCGACAATCTTATCTACGATTTCTACTTGAATGGCTTTAAAGTTCGATGTTACTTTTTATCGCACAAACATATTGTACAGACACACGTACGTACGGTCATACAGTACCAGTCAAAAGTTTGGACACACTTCTCGTTCACTGTCTATATATATATTTATATCAAAGCTACATAAAATCTAAACATTTGATTCAGTGTGACACACTGTCTACTATCCGGGCTAAAATGTACTTTTAACCTTCTTCTGCATATTTTGACGCAGTACTGCAGAGAGAGAGGACTTTTACCGGAGAACCCTCTTATCTTTTCGTGGAAAACGTTAACACTAAACGCTACACTTTATCGGATGGCCCCTTTGATTTGTTTTCCTGAAGTACCAGTTTAAGATCCAGGAACATTTCGGGACTGTTTCAGATTCTATAAAGGTTTTAAATTGCACGGAATGTTCTTTGGTTGTGCTTAACTAGCCGTGGCAGCATGGACATGTCGGTGGTTGGGTGCAGTAATTTGTCTCGTCGTACTGTAAGCGCCTTGGTCAGTGTGGCGGGGCGTTGTTGGGAAGAGGCTTAATCAGCCACAGGTGAAACAGATCTGGTGATTGCTTTTACCGCTGCATAAAAATGCAAGTGGGGGACGGCGGCGCGCGAGAGAGCGAAGCAGCAGGACACACAGGCCGCCAGTGCGCCAGTGCAGACCAAGAAGGTCACGACCGAGCCCGCCACAACCTTTACAGTAAAGATGTGAACAATCCCAAACAGGGTTGCTTGGCGTCATGGTGCTCGGGGAACCGGGGGGGTGTAGTAACAAGATCCTGTTACGTCTTTAGAGGTGTCTACTCACAAAGCCGAGTTATGGAATGATGCATCGAAGTCAGCTCCCATTGTGATGTCCCGGAGTGAAACGTTGCGTGCCATCACCATGGCTACAACAAAGACTACAAACCATCAGTTCTCATCACATACTGACGAGCAGGAAAGCGTGTGTGTGCCCCCTACATATCTCTAATACGAAGATATGAGCGGAGGCTTTTCATGTTAGGTACCTTTTGTCACATTTCTGACACCAAAAATCATTTAAAAAAAACAATATCAAATGAGTTTGGCAGCGGCCTCTCTGATTACAATGTTGTGGGTACCTCAGAGGGGCACACCATATCTGCTGTGAGGTTTCCAAGCATTCATTGTGCTTCCAGAACTTCTCACTTTAAATATGCTTAAGCCTACAGGGTGAAAAAATCCATTCCTACATGGTCACATTTAATTCCCTTCATCATTTTTCAACTGGAATGAGTGAAATTGCTCCTTTAGCATCAGCAACTTTGCTCATTAAGAGCTCGGAGAACATTTAAATATTTCTATTTAAAACGCCTTCCCAGCAATTCCCAAAAGCCTATTTTACGCTTCTGCAGTAAGTGGATTAAACTGAATTAAAAAAGAAAAGGGAGACTTTTTTTTGTAGTGCCTTTTCTGTTTGGTAAAATATAGCTTATGTTTCATATCAGACAAAATAAGTATACTACAGACACACCTTCAGTGCAAACTGGCTAATTAATTTAGTTTACTGTGTTAAAAAGGCAGTGTTGAAAATAAAGCCACACAGTTGGCCTGGTGCCATACCTTATTTGACGTTTTTCCTGTTGTTCAAATACCATTCAGTCTGTCCTCATTAGACCTTTGTTCTCCTCTCAAAAGAGGGGTGTCTTACATCAGTTCGAGGATCTACTCCTCAGTAATCTACTCCTTATGCAAACACATTTGTAGCAGATTATTTACAATTCAGCCGAGGCATCTTTTTCTAACATAGCAAAAAACATTTTTCTATCCAAAATTATTTCTACAATACAATACAACAATTTTTCTAACACCTTGCCTTCTAGGGCAAAGTACAGAACGCGGTAAAGGCATTTGTAGTGTTCCAAAAAGCCATCATTTCCTTCGGAGCAAATGAACCTTTTCTGGCCGACGACTGTCCAGGTAAACCGTGGCTTTTGTTATGGTAATTTTCAACGGCACAGCGTCCTTTAAACGAATACATTATTAAACTTTGCATTCAATTATCGTGACTCATAAGGAGATTACGTCGAAAAGGTAGCCTGCTAAATATTCAAACTTTCGCTGCGTATTCGTTAATATTTAATGTATATTCACATTCAGTACAATTGATTTGGAAACACAAAGAGCAGAAAGCTCTTTCCTTCAGGTCTGGCCAATTGATACTGACAACAAAACCAACCATTTGTACAGTCAATAGAGACTTTTCTTTTGTTGCTTGGCTTTTGTTTGGCTCAAAAGACTGATGAATTAGTTTCCATTCATTGTGATTTGACAGGTTGAGCTTGCAGGTTAGCGCCCTTGTACGCCTTTCTCACAGGTTCCACATGCGCACACACAAATACATACAAATACTTCCACATGCCAAATGCCAGTGTGCACACAAACAAATGTGGCACACACAGGCTGATCTTCCTGTTGGGTGAGCCAAGGTTAAATAGTTAATTGGCGTGCAATGTGCAAAAAGCATGTTGTCGCACACAGACGTTCAGGGTGACACATGTAATTCCTGCTGCTGTAAAATTCGAGATGAAAAGGTTCTGACGGTTGACGGCCTCTACTAGAATAATCGCGCTTTGACCATTTCATTTCTTTTTTCATTGATAAGCTTTCACCCATTGTGAAAGATGACTAACACGTTTAACACACCTGACTGTCACATCTCTCTCGCCTGTGTCTCCCTGCAGTCATGCCCCGTTTTGCTGAACAAGTGGAGGTTGCTATTGAAGCGCTGACTACGAACCCTCCACAGGCCTTTGAGGAGAATGAGTTCATCGACGCGTCCCGCTTGGTCTACGACGGCGTACGTGACATCAGGAAAGCTGTCCTGATGATAAGGGTATGTTCCTCTAAAAAGGAAAACACTGCCCTGCGAGTGTTAGCGACATAAATGGATGTCTTTTGAGAAGTTAACCATGTCCAGAAATGTTTTACTGCCTTGCTCAAAAAAGTTAATACATTTGAGATTTGAAATTTGTGAATTTCCTAGTGTTGCTGAATAGTCAGTCAGGGAGCCTTTATCAAACATATTTAATTAAATTGGTCCATTAATCAGTGGCACAGTTTGCTCTACCAATATAAAAATGCTCTGCCAACATGATCATTATAAAAATGCTGCATAACAACATGACACCAGCCGTTCTGTCTCGAATACTCCAATGTTACAGTATCTTGTGTATTTTTTTCCATTTTTTACCATGTAATTCATTCAACTTTTATGCAGACTGGAAGGTTTCCCAGTGCAGCACTGAAAAAAAATCTAATTATGGAAAATAATTTGATGTTGGTAAATAATGTAAACCAGGCAGCTTTGAACTGCCCGGGACCAGCTGGCTTCATAATCCCATCCGAGTTCAATTACTTTCCGAGGAGACAACTTGGAAGATCGTTGCTTTCTCTGTTGTCAAACTCCATCGTACACATAGCAAATGTTTGTGCCACGTGTAATAGTTTAGTCTGCACTCATTTTTAAGCGTCCGTGTTATTTTTCTCTCTCTAAATCCGAGTCGTGGCTCCTTTAGAATTTTTACGGCAAAGATCTTATGGAGAGTCGAGGGATTAAGAGACCAATTCTCCACGGTGTTTAAAAAATGAGGAAGGTCTTGAGAAGATACTAAAGTTATAATAAAAGTTCTAAAAAACAGTTTTTTCCTGGCTTTTATGTACCCACGTACACATTTAGAGCGGAATGGGATGAGTACTGGATGAAATGGAACATGTATGAAAGAAGGGGAACACATTGTTTCGTGTCCTGGTGAGATAATAAAATACAACCGGCAAAGGCTTGCTTTAATAATACATCCTTCAGTTCAGGGCCATTTCAGATGGTGCAACATTGCGTTTTAAGTTGCTACGAAACAATATGTGGTTTCTTGTATATTATCACTCTAAGAATAATTGCATCCTCCGCTTCCAAGGTCACAAATTATAATAATAAAGCAATCTACTGGCTGGATTTTTGATCAAAAAACAGTGAAATGAGTAACACAGCTGCTTATTATGTGGTTATATTACCCTGGATTTTGGAATCCAGCTTGAATATTCACATGTGGAGGAGAGCTTGAATTTGAGATGTTCTACTACCTAAGCTAATTAAGCTAATCGTTACGAAGTTACGATGTCTTACTAATCGTTATTAGTAAGACATCGTAACTTCATATTCATTCTTAAATTACTCATGCTGCAAATGACTTTTTCAATTATTTAGGCTTGGTGAAAACAAACTATGTTCAACTTATGACACAAATAAAGAAATATCCTTTGCCTAAAATATCTACACTAAATTGTTGAAAGCTAAAGTCGACTCCTCTTTGAAATAAATGAGCCCTGCTGTGAGATTTCATTTCTGAATGTGCAAATATTTCCTCAAATGACAATATTCAGGTGACCGCATAAATAAAGCATCTCTAAAGCTAAACACTGCTTTGTCTCTCAAGCATTTTCTTTTTACAGTGACCCCTTTAATTCACTAAAACGTGACCGGTGCTTTCAATATGTGTGTCGAAGAAGGCAGGCAGGTGTTTGTGCAACTGGGTTTGTATTTGTGTCGCCAGTTTGTTATTCATTTTGACAGAAGTGTTCAGGTGAGGGGAGGAAGTCTCCCTGAAGTTATGCAGATGATGACGATATGTCGTGTTTCATTCTGTGACATCGCTGTCTGTCATGCTTTGCTTGATTCGAGTTCAAATATTAGTTGAGGCTTTGTATACAGAACAAAAACCCAGAAACAAATGCTGTCGGTTTCACCTGATTCTTGCACAGAACGGCATGAAGTCAAAGTTGCTTTTTTCAACGGTCGTAGTTGAAGTTGTAAGACCTTTTTTTTCTTTTTTTCGTTTGTATCTTTCTGACTTTTTCCATTCGTCTTTGTGTTTCTCACAGACACCAGAGGAGCTGGAGGATGACTCTGACTTTGAACAGGAGGACTATGACACTCGCAGCAGGACCAGTGTACAGACTGAAGATGACCAGCTCATTGCTGGGCAGAGTGCTCGGGTGAGTGGGTGCCCCCCCCCTTCCCCTACTTTTCAGAAAACTCTATGTTTCTCTGTTGTAAAGAAATACAGATAAAGGCAATGTGTATTTGACTTGGCTAAGGCTTTGGAAAGAAGCCCAAATGCATCATAGAAGTGATGGAAGTGTTGCTGCTTCAATCGTAGGCCGCGGGTGCAAGTTGCGCCGCATCCCACCTCAACACCTACCCCTGTTCTCTAGCCATTCTGGAAATGATTGAGCCAAGTATCCACTAGTTTCACACACATAGCATGAAAGTCCATTAAAGTCCTCACAGCAAGAAGTGTTATTTTAAATAAACGCCATTTGGGGGTGGCAGGTGTAAAATTGCAATCACAAACAAAGAGGTAATTACCTAATTCCCTTCTGATGCCGCACAAAGGAAAGGATTCTGCCTAGTGCTGTGCCAAGGCTTCAGTCACAATAGCCAGGGCCCGGGCTTTAGTGCGCATTCGAAATGTTTCACTTGCGCTCAGCTTAAGGAACATTAAGAGGGTATCGGTGCCCCCCCGTCCCCGTCAACAACACTGGCGCTGAGGTGATGTGTTGTATATTGAATGGATTGTATGTATGACGTGGCCCAATGCCTGTCCCTATGGCACAGGCCTGTATTATACTGCCTGGGTCTCTACACAGTCTGCAAACACATGGAGTGAGACGAGGAACATTAATAAACTCAAAACCAAAATGTATTGCTGCTGCTGTGTTTACTAGCTATTACCCAAATTGTAATGCATTTTGATAGGAGCTAAAACAAAAATAACTCTGACCATTGGTATCTACCAACAGGCAAGCCTCCATCCATTGGTAGGAGGTTATGGGCACGTTTAACATATCAAATCAAATATTTCTGTTATTAGCAGTGAGGAAAGACAAGACAACACAACGCAAATCCATTGGTGAATGCAAATGTACCTCATGAAAGTTTAACAAATGTTCCATGCAACCATGAAAAAAGGCACAAACCGATGCCACGGGAGCACAATAGCTTCTCCGGGATGACTGTGGGGGTCCTGGGTGAGAAGAGCTTTGAGTTTGTTGTATGTTCACTCCCACTAAGGCTCCCGCAGCGTAACGTCGCAGAGCCATCTGAGCTTAGACGCACCAACACAGCCACACAAGGGAGCCTCGCAGCACCAAACTGTCAACCACTTCTCCTGGCACTCAGCTGCGCTTCGTGTGGGTAGCTCTACTTGGGAACAGTTTGAAGTCGCATCGTGTCCCTTTGTTTTAACTTGTTGCTGCGATACAAAGCACTATGAGGCGGATTAAAGGGTGAAGTGGCTAAATGTGAAGATTGTTCATGCAGCCTCGGTTTTAGGGGGTTATTGAACGTGATCATAGACAACGTTATGCCCTCACAGACGAAACACTTACACACGCAGGAGGCATCTATAAAAGATGCGTTTGCCCACTCCGCCTCAGCCTGTCGTGTCAGGATAAAGCTTGCTGTCCTTGCACGGTCATGCCAAGCGCACACTGATGCTCTCTGTCTGTATTCAAACAGACAAGGGGAAGTGTAATCCATTTTCTCCATAGGAGCTGACGTGAGCACACACAGGTTTACAGTCATGATCCCTACAAACCCCTCCGCTCCCTCTCACTCTCTTGGTTTCACTGTCTCTTCTTCGCTCACTGTAGAAACAAATCAAGCCCAGGGCCCTGCCAGGAGCCTTTGTTTCCACTGCTTTGGTTGCTTCGTTTGTCACTCCCATGTGCACAGCTAATTTATTAGCGCAAACATGAATGAGGAGAAGACAGAAAAACAGACAGGGGACCTGTACGTCCTCTCTTTCTAAAAGAACACACAACTCCCCGTCTTCAACACACATACACAGACACCGAACATCTCTTAACACAGTGATTGGATAACACTGTTGATAGGTCATCCATAAAATTGAACTCCGACTGTCTGGGCAGTTTATTTCAAATGAAACAAATTAAAGTCATTTCAAGAAGCTGCGCACGGTGAAGAAACCCGGAAAGCGCACTAATCCCTGCAGACGTAGCCGCTGCCGCCGAGTGTATTGGGCGAAGCACTCCCTCGGCCGGATTTGCCACCATGTTAAGCTCCCAAGGCCCGCTCCTTGTTGTTATCAGTAAAGTAGGGGAAGGGATTTAGGGATAAGTGAATTCTAGAGAGCACGGGAGGAGAGAAAGAGAGAGAGGGGGCCTTCACCAAGTGCCTTTCTGCTCCCCTGACGTCCCAATTGGCTCATGTGTTTACCCCTGCGCTGCAGCTTTCTTTGTGTTCACCCCCCTCCCTCCTGTATGTCTCTTTCTCTCTCGCATCCTTCCCTAAACTCTCTCTCTCTTTTGTCACATCATTTTCAGAGTGAATTTGAATACCAACCAAATCCCTCACTTTCTCCTCAACCTCCCTTGATCTCTTATTTTAGAAATGGAAATTTCCAATCCAAATTGTTGAGTTTCATGACTTTTTGTTCCCTTTAGCTGTTTGGGGGAGCATTTCATGTTGGATTAATGCAGCTGTTATGTGCAGAATATGGAGAGAGAAAAAATATTTGATTGCTCTAACAGAAATATTCAAATCTAAAAAAACTCTGATTGTAGTTTACATTCTTTCTTACTCATTCTAATGGCATTCAGCAAAACTAACACTGCTTCTTTTCAATGTCGTAGCAACCATTTTGCCACTGGGGGGTCTACTGCTTGGTTCAATTATAGAAATACGTGAATAATTTATTTCAGCCCAACAGTTGGGTGCAGGAAAGAAATGAGCAGCAAATATATACTAATGATCGCCCTGAGGTTAGAATGACATGCTTGGTGGCACATTGCACTCATCTATGTGGCTATTGATTAGGTAGCAATTACTGTACATCTTTGCCTCCATTATGTTTTTTGCAAAAAAAATTTAGTTTATAATAATACATCATTTTGTGCCGTCTTCACCAGGAGAAACATGTGATCACTCGCATGAGTCAGTGTGCGCCTGTGTGTCTGTCCACTGCTGATCTCACTTTCTGCTGCAGCAATAAAATGTTTTTGGGTGGCCAGCGTTGGTCAAGTTGATACTTTCTCAACACACATTTTATTTTATTTTCTACTGTACACAGGTATGCACCACCTCTCTCTAATTATTACGAGCCAGTAGTGATAATTCATCTTATTGAATCTTCTGCAGCCACTTCTCTATGGCCGAAGTTACAGTGGGGGGAGAGCATACTGTAGAGCGTTCGTGGGGAAACAATTGGCTCACTTTAATAGTTCATGACTATGTTTTGAACAAAGAGCTCACTGAACTACGCACACAAATGGCTTCATCACTTCCGCTTAGCTGCTGCTCAGACACGTTTTTTTCTGAGCTTTTTTTATCACATCGCCAACACGTTTATAGGCCAATTTTTGAAGAATAGACTTGATGCCTTGACACATACGGCAGGTACGCTGGTGAGGTGAGATGCACACTAGACATCTAAATAAACTAAAACATGTATGTGAAAAACAGCCACTATATGTTTATATGAGGGTTTACCTAAATATGGGTTGGATTTCGTCAATCAAACATTACTGCAGTGGTTTTTGCAGACACAGCTTGTGGAAATCTGCGCTGCACTGAGTGCCCATTTCTAATATTAAAACAGACATTAATACGAAAAATGTGTCGTGGAAATCAGCAACAAACTAAATAGTTTAAAAACAAGACAGTAAGTGTTCTGTTATGAGACAAACTCAATTTGTTCTCTATTTATAATGTTTTTAATAAAATGCCCATTAGTGCTGATTAAACTATAATCAAACCTGCATACTGAATTTTGGAATCAGTCCGATTAGTAGGTGAACTTGTGGCGGTGTATTTGACTTGTGCATTGGCCGACATGCGCGGTTGTTTTCTCATAGGTTAGTTAGTGGGCGGTGTAGGGGGCCAACTGCGTGCCACCCACGATTCACAGCGACTCCTGCAAAGTCATTACAAATTTTCCCTGCTTGAATCAGCAGTTTGTTCTAAATGGTTAATATATCAGTGTGCAGTCTAGTGTTGTATTTGTTTTAAATGTGAGCAGTGTTTTCACCCCACATGCGGTATGATGGAACAGGCCATGCTGTTGTTTGTGTGTCTTGGCACAGGCAGCACAGGAAATAGGGAATGTACACTGGGCTTAGGGAGGCTGGTTTTGCTCATTTGGTTACTCGGCCCAGGTTTCATTCAAGCTAACCGCCACCAAAGCTTTGCACAAACGGGCTCACAAAGTGATCGGCAGGCCGAAGCTCCATTGGCCTCTGATGAAAAAGTTGTGCCTTCGTGCTTTTCATTTTCAATCCGAAATTTCATTATTTTCTCTTGGATGGAGGACCTGCTCCTGTTTCAGCTCATTTTGATTTTCAAAGAATATCAGAAGGACAAGTCATCTATATATTTTGTTTTCAATTTTCTCCTGACATATCTAGCAGTGGACATGAGCACTTTCTCACTGAGCCCACTACACCCCCACACACCAGCTTTGCTGTGAGAGAGGGAATGAGGACAAGGGTGATTATTTCAATAAGAAAATAGCAATTCTTGGAGAAAAGTCAATAATAGATGAGGTTAAAAAACACTGGTGTCTTTTTTCTTTTTTTTTTTACTGTGCCGTTTTCTCTCTGTCCCTCTCAAGTCAATAGAATCGACCTAATGGAACCCAGGTTACTCTTCCTTCCAGCTCACCTCTTTGACATAATGTTAAACAAATGAATTATTCATTCTCTGGTCTAAGAAGCGAGGTAATTATACATTTATCTCCAAAATAAAACCGGGTTCTCACTGAGCCTGTGACCTTGCCACAAGATTTATGCCGTTTTGGACCTGCCCCCAACTACCTCTGAGGGAACAAATGAAGGCAGAAATGGATTTGCTTTTTATGGGTATAACACGTCGAGGGGTTTGAAAAGCTCCAGTCATTAAATGTAAAGTTTAAAAATGCATTTTGTCCGAAGTTACTGTTTAAGTTTTGTAGGGTGGATTAAAAAGTACCAGTATGAAAAAATTGATCCAATTGGTGCTACAGCTCTTCTCTTTGTATTATTTTCTTTCCCCTTAACTAATCCTTCTTCTTATTCACCCCTTTCCTCATTTCTCTATCACGTTCTGCTCCTCAACCGTATCACCCTCCTTTACCTAAATTCTCCTCTTCTGGCGTTTTCCTCATTTTGAGTAATCCTTCCAATTTATTCTGCTCAAATTGACTCCCTAACAGCCTCTTCCTCCTCCTCTAATGCTTCTGTTTCTTCCGTGCTCCCCTGGTGCCCGCAGGCTATCATGGCACAGCTTCCCCAGGAGGAGAAGGCAAAGATTGCTGAGCAGGTGGAGAGCTTCAGACAGGAGAAGTGCAAGCTGGATGCAGAAGTGGCCAAGTGGGATGACAATGGCAATGACATCATTGTGCTGGCGAAGCAGATGTGCATGATCATGATGGAGATGACTGACTTCACCAGGTAACAAAGTCTAAGCGCTGCGATGAAAGATTGCACGGTCACTTGAAGGCAGTAGAAATAATCTGATTGTGTTACGGGTTTAGGTTCCTTTTTTCCAATTTGCTGAGAAGAGTTGTTGCTCACTACAATAAACAAACTCTAGAAGGAAAAACTTTACTGTAAATGCTTAAGCTTCCATTATGCTCAACAACAATTCCCTAACTTTGTTTGGTGCTCGGTAGCTAATGCATGGAGGGTTTTAGAGGTTTTTCACTGTCAGCAGCTGCCTGCTGTGTCGGAAAACAGGTTGACGAGAGTGGGGAGAGTTCACCAAAACAGAAACGCTGCACTATAGAATATAAACCATGAGCTGAGAAGTAAAGGAATGCTCTGGGTGAGGGCCACTGTGAATGACCCTATTGTTTGTATGAAAATATTGGTGCAGCAAATAAAGAAGAGACAGCAAGTTGGATTCTTGCCTTTGCAATGCTCACAGCTGCAAGGTGTTGTGTGAAAGGCAAAGTAACCCAGAACACTTTTGTGTTACTCAGATTGCATAGCACTACTGTTATTTAAAGATGCACTGTAATAGATCATCTTTCTATTTTTATTTTACAATATTCTCACTCATGTTTACTAAAAGCCGGCAGCTTTCATCTCAATCTCCTCCATCTGGGCTCAACATATCAGGGAAATCCCTAATGCCTAACTGATGGTTATCCGCCTCGTGTATGGATTTGTGCACTACTCTACTATTATATGGCGCGGAACAAACCAAAAAGAAGAGAGAAATCAGAGCCAGGAGTCATTAGTCATGAGTGATTATGGTGGTGGTGCTGCGACTGCACCATTATTACTTGGCATTGACCCCAGTTACTCAGATTGGCATGAACAAACTAAGTGGAAATGTCAGCTTAGCACTAACTAAAACGAATACATTACACAAACAAACACACTTATATAGCCACAGTAACTTTTCCCATTCTGGCGAATCAAGAAAAAACAAACTCAAACACAAAGGTTCGGTGGTTGGCCATTATTTCCTTCTGTATCTGCATTCAAAATCCTCCCATTTTGCTGTTGAAAAAAGGAAATGTTTTGTTTCTTTGCTATTCCAAGCACAGCTCTATTATACGTCATTAGGGACTGTATTTGCTACACCGTTCACTGTGAAATTGTGTATTGTTGCTTGATTGTAATGGCTCATATTACTGCAGCTCAAGCTCAGCAGTGAGCTCTGTCTTTAAAGGGAAGCTCTGCATGCTGTATGCCTCCACAACAACACCCACATTACCTTGTCCCCTTATTTGTCTCCCCTTGGACCCTCCCAGAGGCAAAGGGCCCCTGAAGAACTCCTCAGATGTGATCAACGCGGCTAAGAAGATCGCAGAGGCTGGTTCCAGGATGGACAAATTGGCCCGTGCAGTTGCAGATCAGGTAGATTTACAACCGTGTCTGCCGCTGTCATTTTTATAGTTAATACTTTCTATTGGTGTGAAACTGTCACTGCCTGTGTCATAGTAGCTGGCGGCTGAGCAAATTTTGATTCGGAGTAAGAAGGCATGGCCAATCGGAAATCTTTATTGTGGGCATTGACAAGCCCAGCTGGAGCTGTGGGCTGTGTTACTGCATGAATGTGTTCCCCAATGGAGCCAACACTGAGAGAGCGAGAGCAAGACAGCAGAACCAAGTTATGTCTCTAATATAATTAGCTCGCCACCGAGGTGGTGCATTCATTATCAGATGAGTACTTCTCTAAAACCCGCTGACAGACCGTTTTCAATATCTAATCAATCAGCACTCTGCCTAGGGAAGACAGGAGTGGAAATAAGTGGGTGTGTACGCTGTGCATGTGAGCATACAGCAAATGAAGTGGGAGGTATTTCAGAATGCAGCACTCTAGGTAATGCATAATGTTCTTCTTCATTTCATCTGTCTCTAATAAGCAATGAGAATAAACTTACTCACGAGGCCCGCTGATTTATTAAGGCCGCCTGTTGTCATTGTAATTGCAACTGCTGGTACATACTGTAGCTCTTGGAACAATTATTGTTGGTTTCAGTATCACACGCTGGGCCTCTGTCCAGTGCTGCTTAGCTGAAGAAATGTTGGACCTTGCATCAAAATTTAGACTAAATAATCATTTTGAAGTCCCGGAAGCTGCATGAGGCCTGCACAGATGGTCACCAACCAAGCTGCTTTACCTGAAGTTTCATGTTCCAAACCACTAAATAACAATACTTAGTTGTTCTGTTGTTTAAGATTTAGAGAAAAAAAAGGATGCTTCATGTAACTGACTGTGGATACCCATAGGGTATTGATCACTACAAAAAGAAGTCAATGAATCATGAAAGAAGGAGCCTAACTGCAGGGAACTGTTCTGAACGGTTCATCAACCAAAAGATTAACACTTGTTCATTGTGAGACATCGTTCCTGAAAGCATATGGGGCCAACTTTTAACAATTTATTTTCACATTAATGTATTTGGAATGATCTAATTGGGTGGCGAATGTTCATTACTAAATGAACATGCAGAGGTTAGAGTAAAACAGAATGCCGTAATAGAAAGAGTAATCTTGTGACAATATGTGACTTCACAACAATACATGGGCAAGCCTTCCGCTGTTAGCACAGCACAGAATGCTTGTCAGTTTGAGCACCCGTGGAGTCGACTGAGCTTTCAACTGACCAGAAGGCATCTTTAGTCAAAGCTGGCGCTGTATTGTCATGTCGCACTGTCCGGCTCCACGGAGCATATTGCACCACAGAATGAAGTTGTGGGCTGTGACTGCATAACTATGTCTGTCGTGCAGCAATTACAACAAACAGAGAGATTGAATCTGCGTGTGCCTTGTTTATGTTTCCGTGGATAAGATGACTTATCTTTGTAATGTGGTCTCATTCTGCATCACTGCTCGTGTTTGTCGTTTTAGAGCAGGACCCGGGGCAGAAACGACAAAGTTAGCATGAACTTGGACTTTTGTGCTTATGTATTAGTTTCATGGCTAGTCGGCTGCCGAGTGATCATCAGTGTTTAACAGGGTTTAGGTGGGAGTAAATCTGTCACATAGTGAATCACTGGCAGAGCCTGTGTCTGAATCAACAGTTGCTGTAATGAAAAGAGCAGGTGGCATGCATTTTTTAATTCTCGATTAAATGTTTCCTAGACTAGTGTTTATTGAATATTCAAAGCCTTCTGTTACACTTCCAGAGACATCCGAACTGTGTTCGGAAAATAAAGAGATGTATTTGTTTCTATGTGTTTTTGTGTGAGTCTATTTGGAACTGGGGTATTACAAGTTCAAACAGCTCAAGTTTGTTTTTAGGGAACATTTTATTGGAATTATGCAACAAATAACACATCCAATTATTTCCATTTTATTCTCAATGAAGAAGACCAGTATTGTGCATTCACACATTGTTGTGCAGAACTTGACAGTAAGAATAAAGCCTGCTCCACTGCCTCCAGACAGGTCCCTAAGTAGCAAACCTTGTCGCCTTGACTCCACATCAGCCCTATTGATGAACAAGTGTGAAGCAGAAGGCAATTCTGCGTGGAACGCTGGAAGGACGGCGAGCTCTTTCATAGTCATTTAAGCACAGCACTTGACGTAGATAAACCCCTTGAGGCAACTCACCCCATTTCACTCCAGCAATGCCTTTTTTTCTACTCTATTTCCCCCACTCCATTTACCGTTCTCTCCTTCTTTCCTTAAGCGTGCTTCCTACAGACGCAAGCCAGATAGTGGAGAACAGCTGTGCACACCTTATCGGAGACGGCTTAATTGTTGAGCGTTCCGATTTCCGAATTAAAAATGATGGGTTGAAATAAGTCCAAAGGCAAACCGGAAAGCGCTGGTGGCCACTGACTGGTTTAACCTCCTCAGCATGTAGGAAGAACTCTGGTCCTTCTTGTAGAAGACTTGACCGACTCACCAATAAACAGTAAGGGAATAAAAAAACGTACGCATCACCCTGCTTGAGAAAGTGTTTTATTAAAGCATCATCTGGCTGATTTGTGTACATTCGTGTATTTATTTTAAGGAACAGAATGTATTGCATTTGCAAGTGGTATGTTATGATGCTGTGGCTACACTTATTTGTGGAATCAAAATGAATGCAGACTTATAAAGTTATTGTTTCTAAATGCTGCTAAGCACAATCAAGTAATTAGACTTACAGGTTTCACTTAATTTGGGCTCCATATGCGGAAGGCCCTGTCGCCAGAGCAAAACTGCTGTCGCCTTTACTGACAGCAGTGTAGCCACGTGTGACTGATTTGTAATTAAAAAGCTTCTCTGTCAAAACAAAAACTACAGCTGGCAGGAGCTGGCTAAAGGAGTCAGGACTAACCTTCTTCAAAAGTCAATGTCGCTGACTGGAAATGTCAAAATTGCGAGCTTTTCAGAAAATATTTGTTCCGCTGCTTTAATCTAGTTTTTTAGTGTTTCACCGTCTTATGGCTTCACATGCAAACTTAAGCAAGAGAAGATCCCTATTCCCATTCTCTGAACCGCACGCTGACTGTGAACCAATCTGCTTGCAACATGACAGGCAGCAGGAACCGCTTCTAATGTATTTAGTAATATGGCGAGTTACAGATCAAATAAAATCCGGTTTCCTGGATGTTTGATCGATTTTTTAACATTCGGTCACCTTGTCGGTCTGTGAATCACTGTGAATCCACGGCCCATTTTCTATTCTATTTTATAAATTCCAGAATGTGGCATATCGCAGACACAAGAAGGATAAGAAATGCATTCAGGTTGTCACAAAGACATAGTGAGTGGTTTCAGTTTTAAACACAGCAGGGAGGTGCCTGAGACGGGAAGAAGAAATATATAAAGATGACTAGCTTTCTTGAAGAAACTGAAAGATGACAGCTTACCGTCAGGGGGACTTTAGTTGTCCAGTCAGCTTGAAGGCATTTTGAATAACTGTGGGTAACATGCTCTATTTGAGAATGTCATTCTGTCTTCATATCATCCTTTTGCCCCTCAAACATTTTTCTAAAATATTATGAGATTTGTAAGGAAATAGAAACGTGTATCATACAGAAAAAGCGGCATAATAAAACAGAAATAGCAACGGCCGTACGATGAAGTAAAAATAAATGTAATATATTGTACACTAAAGCCGTTCTCCGTGTGAGGTGGTTTGCATTCTGATAGAGATTTGCCATCATTTCAGCACCAAGATTCACATCATCCTCCTGCATTATACACAAGGAGCACGTTTCATTCATGGTAGGTCCAATTATGCAGGAAAAAAAATAAGAAAGTAAAGTCCTGCAGTGAAACACACTGTAATGATCAGTGTTTTACTATGAAGGACAGAGAAAGAGAGCTTCACAGTAGCAAAGTTATGGATCATAAGCTGTATTTGCATCAACAAGGAGACTAGAAGAAAGGTGCAATTTGTCCACAGTGAAATAGGGACAATGACGTTGTGTCTGCATCCGTGTGTGTGACAGCAGTGTGAAGTGCAGTTAGCATGGTGCTAATACCAAGGGAGAAGCTTCCCTCTGCCTCACTGCTCCATGAGTTGGTTTCTTTTCCCGGTGCTACTTACTGAGACGGGGCTGCATGCTGGCAGCACTTTGGTTCTTTTTGACAGTATCTCTCAAACTCTTTCTGTAAATAATGCCGTAAATTACAATTTGCGATTGAATTTGTTTGTTGAAGAAGGAAACATCTGAATCCATTTTTAAGACTCACTATTTGTGACTGTCAGTGGAGGACACTTGAGTGGACTATCAATACTATTTGATACAACAGAGAAGATGGGCATCTAATCAAAGCTGTCCCGCAGGGGGTATCCTGGTATTACTTCTTAACGTTTAAATGGCCACCCCCCCGCCCCCTTTACTTAAGCCCACCACACAAGGAAATGAGCTGTGCATTACCCCGCACATTACTGCTGAATGTTCTAGTTAGGAACGTTTAATATTAATGGCTATGGCAAGGAAGGTGTTTAAGCTGCTGATGCAGTGTTGTTAACCCACTGGGAGCTTAGTCGGCCAGAGCTGTCTCCTGGAAGGCTTCCAGGTGGAATAATAGAATGAGACTATAGGTTATTCCATTTGTCGTTCCGTGTGGTCGGTCTATTCACTGTTGAAGTGGCAAAGAGGCGAGCAGGTTGCAGTCAAAAGTTCGGTGATAATAATAAGAATAGGGATTCATAGTAGGCTGGGTTTCTGTGTGATAGTCTTGTGTTTATTTATATGAAGTATTATGTCCGCTCATTGCTGAGTGTTTTCTTATTGAGCGACGCGCTGTGACAAACTTATTTCATTTGAATTTAGTTTGAAATTAGTTTGACAACCTGCAGTGGAACTTGTCTTTGAAACTAAAGTTTTCAACAAATGATTATTGAGTTGTTATTATTAGCAGCACAAAATGGTGGAACTGTACGCTTTTGGTTCTCTTCTCTAAAAAGGGCCTAAACATTAGACGATTTCTAAAACAATCCAATTCGGTAACGATTTCACATGTCAAACATATTTGGAAAATATACACAATTTGAAAACAGATGGAAGATCCGTTATAAGCATCTTTAGTTTTTGCCAAGTTGTCTGAAATAAGGCCAAGCACCTTCGTTCTCCCAAATTCTGTTTCCCAGCGACCAATCGGTTGCTTTGATGGGTTGTTTAAGGTGTCACAATATCATTATGAATCCTTTCTGGCACAGATGATCCAGTTTTAACTTAAACAAAACATGAGCCTCTTGGATTTATTGTGAAAATCAGTTGGCTCGTGGTCCTCAAATGAGAAACAATTTACCAAAGACCTTCAAACGAAGTGAAACGTCCTAATGCTGTGTGGCTCTGCACAAAAAATAATTGAAATTTGATGGATTACGAATTCTGATTAGCATTTTTCACTCATTGCTTTCAGACATTTGACTCAATGACCATCGATATCTTCACTATTACAGTCCATCTAAATAAAGTGTCAAAAAAGACCTTCACTTTACCTCTGCCGTATTGGGTGGTTGTGTGTGGCTGAATTCTGAATGTGACGGTTATGCTAATATTGTCCATAATTGAGAGTAAATGATTAACTTTGTATAACAAAAAAGAGCAAACCAAGTAGTGATTTTGGACACAGTGTCCTGTGTCATTGTTTTACAACTAGCACTCGCGGGCAGAAGAGGGAATGTATTGCAAAATGGACCTTTGAGGTTAAATTACAGATACAAAAGAAAAAAAAGTTTGAAAGTTGTGACATCTACATAAGTAGAATGTGTGGCATAATTTTACAATGATTTCATGGACAAATGTGTCTCAGGGGACTTTCAGATGTGCTCCAAATTGCCATTACAAGGCAAATCATTATTTGGCGGATATTGCACACCATCCTCAATCCCCTAAATTGTACATTGATAAAAACTATTCATATCTATGTGCCCTTATTCATTTTTGTAGAACAAAATTGGAGTATTGCCGAACACAAATGGTGGAAAATATACTAATTGCAAGAGTGATGTGACGAACATCTGCCAATACCTTAAAAGTGTGTCTCGCCACTTTCAGCTGCTCCATGAAAGCCGGTTCTTATTGACTTGGCTCTTGTAAATTTCCCTGTGTTTCCTTGTGCTTCTTTCCCGTTCAGTGCCCCGATTCAGCATGCAAGCAGGATCTGCTGGCCTACCTGCAGAGAATTGCCCTGTACTGTCACCAGCTCAACATTTGCAGCAAGGTGAAAGCTGAGGTTCAGAATCTGGGTGGAGAGCTCATCGTGTCCGGGGTAAGTCTCTGCACAAGAACAGCACGTGTCAATTTTCGCTGTCCTCGATGCTCAAGTCTACGTCGACAGGCTTTTTATGCTTGGCTCACTGGGATTGGTTGACTTGACTCAAAGCACTTCTCAACACTGCGGGAGTGCAACCCTTTTAGCACATGGTCATGATGAGACTGGGAAGAACAGATGAAGGGTCATGCAGATAAGACTGATGCAATCGTTTCAGACCGATTGCCATCTTATAATACCGGAGAGGACACCGCAGGCTTTTTTCCCATTTGTATTTTTCATGCTTCATAAACCCTGTTATCCCTATTCAAACTGTCATCGGTCTATGTTCCTTTTGACATTTGAAATGACTGATAAATCTGTCGGAATAGTTTGGGTCTAATGTAGAAAAATCAATCTGCAGAGCAAATACTTTATTATCTGCAAAAGTTGATAAATACTATTTGATTCAAATGACGGGAAAGTTATTCAGATTTAGATGTGTGATGTTTCACTTTCAAAGTAGACTTTTAATAATCGTAGCACTTTTGTATGATTCCTTAAGTTAAAGTCAGAGATGACTTTGTCTTTGCTTCGGGATTCCTTGTGTCTCTTGTGTGGATACAGTTCAGGATTCATCAGGATTCCATTATATTGTGTCTTACATGAGATACGCAAGCCCTGCTGAGAATTTAACCTTCTCATGGTGGCCAGCTGGAATCTGCACTCATTAAATCCAAGCACTTGACTCGTCTCAGTGTGGGGTCGGAGGATGCCCACTGGCCACCAAGCCTTTAAAGGTCAGCCAAACATAACAGATGGAGACAGAGGTACACCTGACCCCTTCCTCTGCTAATTAAGAACTGCTAAAATAAGATGTCACATGTTTTTATCAAGTTGAATTGACAGTTGTCTCAAAGACCTCCTAGGTTGCGGCTGTAGTTAAATGCCCTTATATCCATGTTAGGCATATTGAATCAATACCCTTTTCCTCTTTGACTCAACCCTCTGTGCTTATCTCCCCCACCCCCCCTGCAGCTGGATAGTGCCACCTCCCTGATCCAAGCCGCCAAGAACCTCATGAACGCAGTGGTGCTGACCGTGAAGGCATCTTACGTGGCCTCCACCAAGTACCAGAAGGTGTACGGTACAGCGGCCGTCAACTCCCCCGTGGTGTCCTGGCGCATGAAGGCCCCCGAGAAGAAGCCTCTGGTAAAGAGGGAGAAGCCCGAGGAGTGCCAGACGCGTGTTCGACGAGGCTCCCAGAAGAAACACATCTCCCCCGTCCAGGCCCTCAGCGAATTCAAGGCCATGGACTCGTTCTAAGCAACAAGAAATGGTAACGCCAACCCCGAGAGGTACATCCAAACACGGCGGTGACAGGTTGAAGAAAGAGTTGCTTTTTTGTGTTTAACCCACCTCTGTTATTCGTGTGTGCTCGGCGACACCTCAGGAGGACTTCAGTACATATTAAACTGCCACGCTAAGGCTCCTGTGGAAACTGTGGGCCTCACGGTTCGACAGGAAGCCGGCGCACGCACACACACACACACACACACACACACCCAACACTATTTATCGATCTTTATGTAGCTTAATATGTGAGAGCCAAAATGTGACACAAACAAGTACTTTTGAAAATAGGAGGGTAAAAAAAAAAGAAACATATCAGAGGAGGAATAGTGGCAATTGAAAAACAATTGTGGCAGTTGATATATCTTTAACGTGCTACTGACTTGCTGCTTGTATACACATTTAAACCGTCTGAATGAAAAGCGGGAATGGTTCAGTAGGAGTTATTCTCAAGGGAATATGTCATTCTTCGTATGCTCCCTCTAGATATTTCTTTTTTCAATTTGAATGTAACCTGTAGTGCTAGGAATTATTTATGTTTAAGATACCTGGAAGTGTTGGCATCCAAGTAGTTTCCTCGTTACTGATGATTATAATGATAATCCATATGGTGTTTTTTTCCAAAGCACTCTTATGGTCTATTGTATTGCCTTTTTAAATTCAATTTATTTAATTATTACATCACTAACTATGATGATTGATTGGAAGTTGCGTAGCGTATACATATAGAAAGAGAGGACTTGGACTTGTTGTGGTTTGCTCAGAGAATAGAAACTCCTGCATATGGTACCTTTATATCCACCCTTCTCTAATAAATCCCTCAACTTGATCCTCATGGTTTCGTGGTCTTTCTTACTGTCACATTTTTTGCAGTGTTTACCAATGTGTGTGTTAGTATAACAGCGGCGTTGCCTTTTATTAATCCAAAGGATCTGACGTAATCAGCACAGATTGTCATGCACGCCTGACCTCCGGATGAAAAGATTCCAGGGAAGAAGAAAAAAATCTATGAGTATTAGAAAGTTACAAGAAAAGGCATATTGATTAAGGGTCGTAGGTGGAGTCCCATTACTTCACTGTGACGTGAGATTATTGGTCTTAGGTCAGCAGTGTTTCTGCCATCCTTGTGATATTGTACCGGAACCTGGACACCAACAGTCGACCAAACACAACTCATTTTCATGTACACAATACATTTTACGTTTCTGGGGAGCAGTCGTTTGGTTTACTACTTTGGTCAGGACTTACATATCTCAACAACTATCTGATCGCCATCAGGTTTTTGTACAGACTTTCAAAAAAGCATTTACTTGACATAATTTGTGTATTTAGTTTACTGGTACAACCGACAGGTTTAAAATTTCCTCTTATCCAGTGAAAAATCAAAATATATGAATAAGCGTTTTAACAACTGTTGGATAGATTGCCTTGAAATTGGGTTCAAACATTCATGTTCCCACTGGTATAAATAAAAAAATTGACGTTATGGTGTTTCTGTAAAATACTAAGAAAAAAAATCTAAGAACACATCAAACTGTATTGTATTGCTCATTGTCTCACAGGTTACTGCTGACTCCAATGTCGAGGAATATGTTCCTGTCAATTTATCTCAAACCAGCTGAGCTATTAAGGGAAATAAAGGAAGGATTGGGGAAGAAGAAAAGCAGTTGGATAGCTAAGAATCAACCGATGCCTGACACGTCGCCAGTCACCAAGACAAGAATGACCTTTAAATGTTTAGGTTTGGGATCTCTAAAGGAACGGAAAGTCACTGTAAATACTTCAAATGGGAATTTCTTCTTGCTCGTCTTGTCTTCGGGAAAAGCGCCGAGACCTGGCTGAGACCCCACATCACGCCAAGTGATTGCAGTCAATTAGTTCATTTTTAGAGACGGTTGAATGCATTCCTCCCAGATAATGACTCTCTCAAGTCCCTACAGGCATCACCGGCACACCCTGCCGTTAAACGCGGAGGGTAAATCAATTGATTGCTTAACACGACCTTGATCCCTCATGAATCAAATCGGAAGCATCGACAAGCATAATTGTCCCAATAACGGCGCACGGGACACAGGTTTAGATAAAGTGGCAGCTTAGTCATTGATAATTAATAAAGCACTTTATGTATCACTAATGGCTATTAAAAACAACATGCATCAAGCATCCGTGCATAACCACAGTACCCGGCATGTAGGAAACGGGGGCCACGGGAGTGAAGTTGTAACACGGCCTGCTGAATGGAGGGATTCATTCGTGGCTGTTTCGCTGTTTCGAAGTCCAATAATCCATGTGCGTATCCATTGCTACCCTGCAAATAAAACAGGAAATGATACATGACGGCGTGTTCTTCTCAAAAATTAAAAAGAAATAAAGATGCGAGAAGATGTACCACCACAGTGGAGGATACTGATTTGATTGATTTCGTGGGATGTGCTTTAAAGAAAGTTCAACAAACACCCATCCAGTTCCAGCTCCAGTGTCCATAGTGAGACAGACGTTTTTCTACCACAACATTTGTGATGCCCAGATAAATGTTGCATGAAATGGTCAAACTTGTTTCCAAAGCCGCCCCACAGCTAATGAGAGTTCGGAACTTTTACCATCGCTTCTGAATTGTTTGTGCTCTCTAATGTCTGGGTAAATCACAGCGCACGTCTCCGTGGGACACTAACTATTTTTGCATTTCTGCTTCAGCTCCAACTTGACTTCTCGAATGATGTGAGGAGGGTAACATAACATTTCAGTGCAGCTAAGATTCAGACTCCTCTGCAAACTCATTCTGTATTTGATTTAATCCGATTTGAAATGTTGACGAAGGGAAGACACGTTATCTTATTTAAGAAGCTCGCTACCGTTAATTGACGAGCCAACTCTGCGAGCTTATTGTAAATTAGCATGCTTGTTAGTTCGTACTTTAAGTGACACGTTGTTAATATCAGCTTCTGTCTGCAAACCATTCCTCTTATGTTGAGTTGTTGGTGCTTTGGCAGTTGAGGGTTGGATGGAAGTGGATAATGCAACATGCAATCGTACAAGCTGAGATTACATTCAAATGTTGTTTTCGTTCCGACCTCAAGAGCTTGTGTGCTTTGTCTTTCTATTGTAATCGTTTTTGTACTGATTGATGTTTGCTGTCTTGATGGCATAAAAAAATCTGTTTCATTTGTCAATTCAGCGAATGGAAATGACAAACCATGACTAAGGACATATTATTTTACTATTTTAAACATTCAGCATCCACATCCCAGTGTGTTTACAGTACACCTAGTGTGCTCATTGTACAAAAAGTATACACAGTACTTCTTTTAATTCTGCTTTAATCAGAACATTTGAATAAATGATTTCTACATTAAGCCATGCCTATTCAAAAAGATTTTCGTCTGAGCCAAATAGAACCAAATAGAACTCTAGTACCTGGATTGAAGTCATGGCATCTAGACAACGGTTAAGGTTTGGTGGTGAAGTAACTTAACCGCTTCAGAATAATTGAATGGAAGTTTAATAATGATGAACTTTAATCGCTGCATTGTGAAATGATGCATGCTGTTGTCTTCTACATTGACAGAGACAGATACATTGACAGAGACAGAGACACAGCACTGTGCATCCATCCACCAAACCTACCTTGCCGTTCTGACTTCTTGACACGGCATTAGCCTTTCAACATGAATTTGATACCTAGGGAAAACTGTGCATGCCCCCAGGTAAGTATAGTATCAGATGCATGAATATTTTGTTAATTGTTCTTCTTGTAATGTATCACAAGGTTAAGTTGAGTCAATACATTTGTATAGAAATATATAACAAATCCCATATAAGTCTCAATGGGTTTTACAATTTGTTTACAGCAATGTCTTTCATCTTGCTAGCAGTGTTGTGCCGGCGTTTCTTCATGATCCACCTGACGATGACGCTCAACCAACAACAACTTCTTTCAGTCCACGTGCATATCTCTGCAGATCCGTTGCGTAGGAGATGTGAGAGAAGGGCTCGACGCTGATGTCATCATTTCTGATGTTCCGGTGCCCTGAGGCACCAGCATCCAGGGCAGCTTTTAGAATAAATGACCATGCTACAGTATGATGAACGGCTGAAGCAAAACCACTTTGGTCAGATGATGCATGTTCTGTTCACGTTGGATGATGTCATAGCACACGGCCTACAAGGCAGAACATTCCGCAGTTACCTGCTCACCAGGATGGCAGTGATTGACACCCGGGGGGCCGGGGGGGTCACAGCTCCTTCTGTAATGAACATTGTTAGAGTGTGAAACGAGAGCAGGGCCATGCTGATGTGTTGACCTTTACAGCGAAGGACTGTTTGGGGATGGGGGGGGGGGGGGGGGTTGTTTTGTCTGTTTCATTCTTGTCAGTGAAGGAGGGTGAGAGATGAGTAGTGTGAGTGAGGGGTACGTGACTGTAAGTGGAGTTTCATTAAGGTTGTGTGCTGAGGTGGGCGGCGATCGAGGCCTCGGGTCTTCCCGTCACGCCTTTGTCACGCCAGGTTTTTAAAGAAGGCTGACGGACGTCCTTCGTTCCCTATAGACGCTTCGCTCCCTCAATGCTTCTCACTCGTCCTGCCACTCTGGAGGTGAGATGGTACAAGTCTCAGCTCGGGGCTCAGTTATGTGATTTGTTTTGTCTGCAGGGTTTTTGATCTTAAAAAAGACATGGAGAGGAAACGTTAGTTAATACAAATACATTTAAATGGTTTAAGTCAGTAGTTTACAGTACGCTGGTTAGCGGTAAAACTGAACTGAAAAACTGTAAAAACTAACAATCAAAATAAACAACACTTTAAATTAAAGGAATCTAATATTAATAGGGGTGTAACGATTAATTTGAACAACGAGTCGATTCGAATCGCGACTCGATTCATGGATGATCTGGGTTAATTTAGGCAAGGCAAGGCAATTTTATTTGTATAGCACTTTTCATACACAAGGCAGACTCAAAGTGCTTCATATTATAACATTTCATACAATAAAGTGAAATAAAATGCAGGAATTAGAAGACGATTAAAAACAGCAAATAAAATTATAAATAACCCTTATTTAAATTGTTTAATTAAAAGCAGAGGTTAAAAGTGCAATGTAGGTAAAATTTAGCAGAAGGCGAAGCTGAACATAAAAGTTTTCAGTCTTGTTTTAAACGTGGTCAGAGTTGGGGCAAGTCTTAAATCTTCAGGAAGTTTATTCCAGCTGTTTGTTACGTAGTAACTAAATGATGCTTTCCCATGATTTGTATTTACTCTGGGAATCACTAACAGATTGGTGTCAGAAGATCTTAATGATCTTGAAGGCTTATGTAGTGGAAGCATATCAGTGATATACTTTGGCCCTAAACCATGTAGTGATTTATATGTGAGCAGTAGGATTTTGAAATTAATTCTCTGACATACTGGGAGCCAATGTAAGGATTTAACAATTGGTGTAATGTGCTCACATTTTTTGGTCTTTGTTAGAACTCTAGCAGCAGCGTTTTGAACAAGCTGGAGCTGCCTGACAGTTTTTTTTGGAAGACCTGCAAGGAGACCAATACAATAGTCTAGCCTACTAGTTATAAAGGCATGTACAAGTCTTGAGCTGACATGAGCCCTCTAAGTCGTGCGACATTTTTGAGGTGGTAGTAGGCCGATTTTGTTACTGATTTGATGTGACTCTCCAAGTGTAAATCTGAATCCATAATAACCCCCAGATTTCTGGCTTTATTTGATGTTTTCAGGGACAGAGAGTGAAGGTGTTGGGTTACTTTAAACCTTTCTTTTTTAGCACCAAATACAATGATCTCAGTTTTGTCTTCATTTAGTTGTAGGAAATTTTGACACATC